ACGCCGCAGATATCGTTCACACAGAGCAGGAAAAGTAACGGTCCTAGCACACTACCCTGGACGACACCGCTTTCTATAGGTCTAGGGGAGGAGTAGCAATTACTGAGTTTTAATACCTGGGAGCGACGCTCTAAAGATGTTGTAAGCCGGGGAAGTAACGGGACTCAGAAACCATATGATTGCAACTTGGTGACTAGGCGTTTGAGAGGCACCCTATCGAAGTCTAAAGCAAAGGTGATATTATTCATCTGGACTCTTCTAAATCTTTTGATTATGTTGACCACCACTACCCAAGTGATAGACTAAATCTAATGGGAATCAACTCATCGCTTGTGGTTGGTTATTATCTCACTTATGTGGCTCAGCATGTTTTTCCATGCCGGAAGTAATGGGGCGCTCAAGCACCACAATTTCTCCATATTCTAGCGCAAATAGACGACTCATCCCGGTAGGTTTCATTTGAAATGCGTCTTTGGGCCGGTGACCTGAAGTTATGAGAAGCCGGGAGTCAGGAGCTGCGTTTCAAAATTAAGAGGATGACGGACGGTCAGCACTTTACCCTGAAAGACGCAGGACGATAGATCTAAGAGACGTCTCATGTCCCGTCCATGGCATCAATGACAGAACTACGTGTGTCGCCGATAGAGAATGGTTCGGGTATTTTAGTTCCTCAAGGCCCGAACTCACTTCAGCTACAACAGAAACTTTGTGTCCAGTTGGTGACGGTGACTCCTAAATATTTTTTCAAATGGTCTGATGGCAAAGATTTCCACTTAATTTTCAGCGGCTTTATATGGCGTCACAGACAGCTTGGAGCTATGGGCTACCTCTCCTCTTGATAAAAAAAGGAGGATTGGGACACATGCAGAGGCAGTCTGTTGAGTCTGTCAAGAACACGGAGAACGTTTGGTTTCACTTTGTCTATACCCTGTTTCCTATAGGAGTTTAGAAAGGGATTCCGCGGTGGCATATGATATCTTGAACATGATTTGGTAGCTACTTCAACAATAATTCGGTCTTGGTTGGAACGCCAACCACAGAGGACACATGCAGAAGTTAGGCCTCGAATATATCAGGTTAGGTACAGGGTGCCAACTCCACATCCTAAACGTTGTTGGGTCTTGAAGTGCTGCCCTCAAAGGGGTGATGCAGGGTGACCCCCCAGGGTTCTTTAAACGCCAACTTAAGATCTACTTAATACTTGGGTGTAAGTTAAACGAAAGTCCACTTGCCTTCCTTATTCAATCCATTTTTCCGTCTTTGCTCGTTCCTTACATAGGTCAGAAACTGGAGACAATTCTGGCCCACTACTTCTAGGCAAATAAGACAACTCGAAACCATTTAGCTATGCATGCAGTTGCGTAGACCTTGAAGGTAAGTTGGTGGTGGTGGGTGGAGAGGTTGGTAACCTGCTCTTTGCTGTTACAGCTAACACCAGATACATGCAAGAGGAATGATCCAGCGCCCGTTCCGGGCGCGTGGAAAGTTCCGTTACTGATTGCAAAGCAGAATAGAGAATTAGAACCATATAAGCCATCTCTTGGGGTTGTGGAGCCCTAACCAGACGAAAAGGGGGGAAGAGGATAAATGGGAGATAAGTGCGAAACGAAGGAGAAGCCCGATGCACAAACAAAGTGACGGTTGCGGGGATATGCAGCTGGCTTCTTTTCATGTTTTTCTCTCCGATTGTCTACTTTTCCCCCGTGAAGTCGCTTCCCCACTGAACCTACGTTTACTTTCCTCTTGCATGTCAACTTCCCACCCACCAAATTCGCCTCATTTCCCTTCGCTTGTGTGCCCCTCTTGGGTCGCTTTATTGCTCGGAAGAACCATCTCCACACTGCTCCTGTGAGAGCTAGCTAGGTCTTACCGGGCACTTATATTAGTTATGAGTCTCAACGACACTATCGTATTCTTCGACTAAGATGTTAAAGAAGGCATCAACCCGTCAAGTGGGCATAATTAATCTTTTGCAAGTTTCTATACAGTATAAACATTGGAAATTAACAAATGTTCACAATAACCTCGGTAATTTCGTTGTATTTCCCACAGCACTTCTGTAGTCATATTGTCCTCCATAGTGTACGCGATTTATTAATTGGTCTCCCTCAATAATGCTTACTTCAAAAGGAAAAAACCTAGGGTGACGAAAATCTGTAGGGCATTTCAATGAGACTTGCTTATTATAGCCATCCCTAACCGTAAGGCTGACGCCGTTGCTCCTATCTGTTTCCTTTTCTCCATTTTTAAGTAAAAGGAAGAATATCGTTGACCCGCAAGGGAGTCAGTACATTTTAAAAAACTAGGTAGAGCAAGGGAGGGATATAGGAATGCTTACTACTGATTGATTCCTGCTGCGATGTCTTGCAGCCCTATATCTAATGTCATGGAAGAAGGATCTTATGCCGTCATCCAATCCCTCCTGCCACATGTCAGGACAAATGAAGGCGACAGTCATGGTAGCCGAAACAGAAGAAATAAGTTGTCCCTAGATGAAATGCTTACGCCGAAGGACCTCTCAGAAACAAATTTTTCTCAGTGCGGGACAATCAGGTGTTCCCATAAGTATATAACGCCGGGCTAATGTGTCGCGACTGGTGACTGACCGAATATGAGTTATTACCAAACGAAATCCTTTGGGTTCGATGATGGATTACCTAAGTAATTGGTGTTAATCAAGCGTCTAGTGCTCAAATAAGTGAAACCATTTGAACTTGGCAGCAGAACAGATTCATAACACAACCAAGTAATAGGAATACAGAACCAGCATCGATATAGGATAGCGGTCAAACCGCCGGGCACACCAACTTCGTTACAGGCTAACTGCACTTGTCAGATGAGGAAGAAAAATTGTATTCTTGGAAAACAGCAACGTCACTGCTCCTAGAAGGTATGCAGAAGCATTTGCAAAGAATTTCACAGGCGAGTATTCAAATGAACTCGTAACTTAATATTGAGTATTGGAATGTCCTGACACTACTCCAGACGAAAGGTTTTGTGCAGTAATCAACGAAACCCTTATACATCCAAAATTTCATCATGTTGCCAGAAATTTCATCTAGCTATAACTACGTTATCCGGTTCATAAGATAAAAAGGTCCTGCTGTGTACGATCCTTTCCTTTTAGCATCTACTATAACTTTAGATGACATGTCACAGGGCTCATGGATACAGTGAATCTCCGTTGATGAGACACGTTTCTCAATTTACTATTTGTTAGCTTGCTTATTTAATGTATAACCACCATGCGTGGAGGCCCCAGCTCAAGTGTGTATGACTCCAAGAGAAATGCCGAAAACGACCCTGATGGCCCTGTGGCGAGCAACGTCACCCGCAACATGTATGACTGGCTGAACATTGTGCACCAGGTGGTCAGGGCCGCACAGTCTCCCAAGTGCTATAAGGAAGTTACGCAACCCCGTCTCAGCCCTTTGTAAATATGCTCGATAGAATTTAGCACATGGGAATAAGCAAGAAGCCAAATGTAACTGACAGAAATCAGCTAACACAGCGGGCGGAAGGATGCCTCTGAGAATTGCTGAATCTATGTGTGGAAGCAATTCACAACTTTCACTGGCCTTCCGTGGTACAACACCGGTTGCACTGTGGCACCTCTTTTGGAAATCAGTCAGTGTATTGCTTTCATAGTCCTGAAGTCCTCAGGTCTCGAGCTCAACTGGAATTTTGGCGGTCTGAGGAGTATTGAGAATCACTTTTCCACAAATGAATTACACTGCTCTTCAGCCAAATATGGTAATACATTCCCGAGCCTGTGACTCTTGCTTCACACAAACAATACCGTCGTAACATATGGAATACTGCCAGGTAACTGAATAGACTCTTCACGCAGTATTTCCAGTATGACGTCAGCACTTGCTTGCGTCCTGTCCGTTCGAAGCACAATACTCATAATAACCTTCTTTACCCTTTATTGTTTGCGTTCAATCTTCTCCATCGACTCAGTGGGTATATCTGTATCTAAATGCCATTTATAATAAGTTGGTGTTGAAACGTAATATTTCTATCACTACTGTTGGCAGCTGTGTGGCTGAAACGAACTGTGCCCGTAAGGCCTCGACATTCTGCAGTCACATTTGACCATATATTAACAGTGGCTAGGATAATTTATCAGTACAAGACACCAGTTCCACGTTTTATACAGCCTCCTTCAGTCTTCGACCAAACTCATTAGAAATGCCTTTATAGAATCGTTTACGCATTCTGTGAAACGTGGACCCGTGGCGGTACGCGCATTTCCATGAAAATACATGTATCAGCCTGTTAAGAAGAGGTGAGTCTTCACAATGCTGATACAAAATAATAAGAATTAAACAACGCCATATCCTACAAATACACGGCACTTACCTCAATAGGAAATATCAAAATGGAGGGTCGCACAGAAAGGCACTGATAAAAGTATGTCGAATACAACTAAGCGGGCATCTCGTCGCTGATTTCTTTACACAAGTGAGTGAGGAAATGCATATTAAAGTAACAAAAATGCAGTAGAATCGTTAATATATTTTAATCTGTGTAGTTACAAAGCTGCCTTGATGGTTACAATAGCTGCTCGACGAATTCAAACAGCTTCCCTTCCCCCCTGATTGTCCTCTTAAAATCCCTCTCCTATTCAGCCTTTCATAAACAGCTTTCCAACCAATGCCTACTTTTCCACTTCAATTCCCCTTTAATATCAGATTGCAGTTATCTTAACAATAAATAATGTCCGACAGGCAATTTGTTTCAAGAAATTGCTACTCTGTATAATAGGCTTGATAACCAAACGAAATAGGATTGCAATTTACCACCATATTTAAGTTCTACTCTACAATTGTCAAACTGTCTATTGGATAGTTGGATATTATCTCAGTAGCATTTTATGGGGCGGGATAAATGCACCTGTGTCGTTTCACTAATATCAAGAATATGAAAAAAACCAGGCCTGTCTACTTCAGAAGAAGCCTTCTGAAATAAGTAAACATCTATTGAACGACGTTTAAGCGTTATTTCCGCGGGATTTCTGAGTGGATTACGAAAGGGATGATTGATGCATTTTTCGACGATTCCTCAGCAAAAATGAACTGAACAGCGACTTTTCAACACACTGCTATTCTTCTGTTGATATTCATTCAGATTTTTCATTGGACAATGTGGAAATATATCCAGAAATATCGAATAATGACTCATATGGTGCACTATTTTTGATGGATTCCGCGGATCTTCTTGATGTACGGGAAGAGGTTGTTGGTGAAGAGAATTTCACATCCAAGCCTGATCCACCTATAGCGCTGGATGGCGCGTTGAAACGTTCTGGAAGTACTCCTAGAAGAAATCTCCGAACTGGTGTTGCACATAAAGATAAAGGTGCGTTTGTTCGCTTATTACCTGCGTATGCTAAATAAACTGTTCGATATGATTAGGTCATTGAAATACTGTGTAGGGAAAATACGCGTGCATATTTTGATGCTTAAATATTATTAGAGGGTGTATAGGTGAACTATGTGAGCGGAAACCGCTATCTCTAGGCATGGGACTCCGGCACCAGCATCTGATTCCTGGTATTGTTTACGCGGCAAAATATGCCTTTGTCTTTCAAAAATGCACAAAGCAACAGAGTTTCAACTGGAACATTTAGAATTCCAAGTGACGTTCAGGACGCATGATCTTTCCACCTAACTTGCGCTGATGAGGAAGGTATCTAAGAAAACCATAGGCATCTAATGGTTATTAAACTGTGTGCTGTTTACTTTCTTAACTTGCCAAAATCAGAAGAACTATTATAATTGCTGTCTTAGACTTAAAGGTGATGTCCAGCTGTTGACTGCGAAAGATTAGGGCATCTGGAGGCAGCATACTACACGATTTAAACTTGTCAATGACGGTTCTTCGCAAACCAATTCAGAACTTTTTGTCATGGTTATCCACTGCGCATATCATGTAACTCTTTGTGAACCCCCGCCTGACATGTCAGGTATTGATCCGCTGTGTTTTTAGTGGTTGTGATTCAATGGGTTAAACCTGAGTTGTGCACACACCAGACTATGAGCTACGACTACGTGATAGCCGCTGATATTTATTGGTTGTCCGTAAAGAGGTAGATAAATTGGTTTCTAACTGATGGCCCAGCGGAAGTGGAATACGTTTTATATTGCGTCCCACCTGTAATTCATCGGGTTAAGCGCTTATCCCTTCAAAAGATAGTTTACAAGTTCATAATTCACCTCATCCGATTAGTTTATGTAACTCACTGGTCGTGATCAATAGTCAAACACGAGTGACTGTTAAGTTGCGTCTTCACTTGAGTTAATTTGAGTACTCAAATAGGATATTACTCCAAGTCAGTAGAGAAGTCATCTAAATATATTGAATGGGACTGATAAATATAATTATAAGCACATCCAGGTTCGCATATCAGGATTTAAGCCTTGCTTTTGAATGATACTAAGGATACTGCTCAGCTGTCCAAACCAAAGGAGGTAACTTGAGTTACATCGTGTGGCTTGGTGACAAGAGAAACCAATTATCTGAATGCTTCCGCGAGGTCGTACAACTCACGAGTTAAACATTCATATGAAATGGTTGAAAACCAGTCACAATAAGTCACATCCATTATACATTTGTATTCCATCTTGACTCTTCCGGTTTCTTTTTACTTTGATTTCACCATCCAGTTTTATTTGCAGTCATTGGTTAGATATTTTGACTTTGAGAGAATACTATAGCGTTTGTAATACTTTTTGTACCAACTGCTTCTTACTCAACACATCTATAGTGTTAAAAATGTTGACAATAAGCATACAGTACTAGAGAAGCAAGCAAAGTTAGCCGATGAAGTTTTGAACCTACATTTATTCAGGTGACGGATGTGTAAAGTATGCCGAATCGCTGTCTTCGATGCTAAACGTCTGGTGAGTTGAGAAAAGTGTAATCAGACCAAGATGTAAAACCAATCTACAAAACTCCTCACAAGAAGTCAGCCATGCTAGATAACGTAGGCTGCATGACTGGGGTTCCTTAAAATGTTAGGCTTCAGTAGCTAGAGAGATTTGTTTTGGCTTTAGTTATTGAGATCGATGTATACTTCATCTATCACCTTCTTTGGCAACTTTGAACAGTTAACTAAACTCTCCCACCCACACTTTTCTGCTTCACTGTTATTATTTTCTATCCACTTTCCTCCTTTGTCCTGCGGTGCACTATGGCGACTTGGACTGATGCATTTCTCTGCAAAATAATGACAGCAAAACTTAACGTAGAACCTATCACAGAAATGCATCATTTTCACTTTCCATAATTCACAGTAGTATACAAAGAACAAGCGGATAAAAGAAGACAAATATCAAAGATGAAGTAGTGAAAGAGAGGAAGCAATCAAAAGAAAAATAGTTGGTGCAAATATCGAAGCTTAAAAGCTGATAACAGGTGAATACTTCCATGTTACTGTGGCTGATTTTCAGCAATGCCACCAAGAGTCCTCAACTATTCATTCCTTTCCACTTAACGACCCCAACCAGGTACTCTACACCTCCCCACACGACTTAGGTCAACAAAAAGAGACTTTATTGTCAAGTGCTAGATCTTGATCTGGTCAACTTAGATATTCTTCCAGCCTAATCTAACTTCCCGCAGCATGGCACTTTGAGGTAGGCGACGGCTCAGCATGCTCAGTACATGTCCAAGCCATCTCAGTCAATTAATGTCCACAACCTCATCAATCGACTCACCTATCTTGGCAACTACCCTTCCTCTGACCCCAACACTGCTCACATAGGGATTCCACCAAACGAGAGCAATGTTACGAAGACACACCTGTGATCAAAACTCTGCAACCGCTTCATATCCTCTACTTTCAACGACCATGTCTCAAAGACGTACAACAGGATGAAACGGAATGACTGCAGTGCAGTATAGTCGTCTTTTAATGGATAGTCGGATATCTCGTCAGTCGGTGCCACAGATGGTGCATGTTAGCGAGTGCCAAATGGGCCTTCTGTATCCAACCTGAGATTTCGACAGTAACCAACCCCTTTAACGGACTCATGCAACTCTTCAAGTAAGTGAAGTCGACATATTCCACCACTTCACTCCCTACCATTAAAATGAGAGGGTTTGCAGCAGGCCAGTCCCAGAGCATCATCTTACGACATTTGACGGGTGCCAGCGAAAATCATGCTAAACATACACAGATTTCTGTTTGGCGCGTTCACAAAACCCTGCATTTCGTCAGCGTCTTCACTCAACAGGACAATATCACCTGCATACTCCAAATCAACCAAATGGGAGTACGTCATTCCCTGTGAAGTCAGACTATGTTCATTAGTGCGTCCATGATGAAGTTGATTAGGAACTATGACAGTGGACATCCCTGCCAGACACCAACAGTTGCTGTTATTTCACATGAAAACACTGCATAAACCCTTACATGGCTGCATGAATTTGAGTAGACAGCTTTGATAAGCATTACATACTTGTTCGGTACTCCCTTCACAGTCAGACACTACCACAACACCTCGCGATCGACGGAGTCAAATCCTACGTTCAGGTCAACAAATATGGTAAGCCTCAGCCGCCGGTAAGTGTGCGTGTGTTCCAGAAACTGTTGGAGGATAAAAATCTAGTCACTGTACCCTTAACAGAATGCAGGGTCTTGTGAACGCGTCGAGCAGGAATCTGTGTATATTTAGCATGATTTTCGCTGGCACTCGTCAAATGTAAGAGGATGTTCCGGGACTGGCCTACAAGCTGCATGAGCCCGCCTAACGGGTTGGTTACTGTCGAAATCTCAGGTTGGATACAGAAGGCCCATTTGGCACTCGCTAACATGCACCATCTGTGGCACCGACTGACGAGATATCCGACTATCCATTAAAGACGACTATACTGCACTGCAGTCATTCCGTTTCATCCTGTTGTACGTCTTTGAGACATGGCCGTTGAAAGTAGAGGATATGAAGCGGTTGCAGAGTTTTGATCACAGGTGTGTCTTCGTAACATTGCTCTCGTTTGGTGGAATCCCTATGTGAGCAGTGTTGGGGTCAGAGGAAGGGTAGTTGCCAAGATAAGTGAGTTGATTGATGAGGTTGTGGACATTAATTGACTGAGATGGCTTGGGCATGTGCTGCTCATGGTATCAGCTATCCACAGGATCTACATATCTTTGACTTTGAAAAGATTGATCTGCTTCCTAGTGGGCACTTAATTCGTATCAATTATGCAGAAAATATTTTTTTCGGCGAAGACGCTGAAAACATACGGTCTTCTGAGCCTGAGCAGAAATGTAAGTATATGCAGCATGCATTTCACACTTGTGAAGTGTAAGATGATGCTCCACGAATGATCCACTGCTCTTAGTCTAAGAATAGGGATTGAGGTGGTAGAATTGGCTACGCACTCCATTTAATTCGGGATTCGTATCAGCCAAAACGGCCCGGTAGCCAAAGAAATCTCAGCTCGGATGCAGCGGACCCGAACCAGTTTGGCGTTTGCAAACTTGCATTATTTGTGGTACGGAATGGTGAGATGTTCGGCTACATATGAAACGACGAGTGTACTGCACAGCAGGCTGTTCTGTCCTGTTATTTGGCTGTGAGACATGGCTGTTGAAAATAAAAGGTATGAAGTGGTTACAAGTTTTTGACTATGGATGTCTTCGTAGCATTGCTTGAGTATAGTGGAATCACCTTGTGAGCAATGTTAAGCTAAGGTTATTAGGCGAGGAAGGTAAGTCGATAAAGTTGTGAACTTTCGTCAAGTGAAGTGGCTTAGACATGTGCTAGACGTGCCGAGCTGCCACCTATCTCAACTTGCAATTCTGGGGGGATTCAATTCACATTGGAAGTATGTTCAAGGTAGCCAGACTAAGAAGTGACACCAGCACCTGAAGTCCCTAACTGTGAGTCTGAGCTGTGTAGGGAGGTGTAGACTACCTGGTTATGGTCCTCAGGACACTGAAAATCAATGGTTGAGGACTCTTGGCGATGGATAAAAAATTTTCACAGTGGCGTAAATATATTCACTCGTTGACGTCATATAAAGCTTAAACGCGTACCGTCTTAGTATGCCACCCTCAGCGTTCTCTAATTGATTCAGATCTGACAACAAGCAAGTTTGGCTAAAACTCTGAGAAGTCTCCCTATTGATGTATGTTGCATCTCAGGATCCTGCATGCTATATCCCAATGTGCTTTAAATTACTTCTTCATCTGTCAGCTCAAAGAACATGGTTCGTGTGCGCTTATCCGGAGACCCTGTGGCATCAACAACTGGCCCCACCAGTGTTGGTGTCGCACTAAGCGCTCGAGCCAAAGCTGCACTACTTAACTGTATTCCCATCAGAAGTCTGTGTGCTGTTAGGCTAGAAGGTCTATCTCAAGTAAGAAGAAGCCGGCAAGAGAAATATCTCTTTGTCATCTCTCCCTATGCTCCGATGGATTGCAGCCCGGATGCAACCAAAGATGAATTCTATCATCAGCTGAGTGACCTTAACCAAGTGAGATCAATAGATATCGTAGTGCTAGCTGGGAACTTGAAACGCACTTTGGGCGTCGATGTTTAGAGGAGTGTCTATCCAGCGACCTATGGGGACTAGTTGGCCACTGGTCGGATAATGGAGATCGTCTTCTACAGCTTTGGGTAGATCAAAACCTTTTTCTAGCCAGCACCAACTCCAGAGACAGCAGTCGTGCCACCTGGCGTCACCCCTGCGCCACTCAAGCCTGGACTCATAGATCATATTGCAGTCAGCTACCGATAGCGTGGGTGCATACAGGACTACCGCTCCATATAGAGTATTTGTCTAAACTCTGATCATTCTTTAATGTATGTTAAGCTGGTCTTGAGTTTTGGTGGCCATCAAAATCGTCGTCCTAAACAGATCGATGCAAGCAAATTAGTTGCACCTAACATGGCAACTGAATCCCAGTCGAAGCTAGATTTAAGGCTGACTACCGATCCCCAGAAAGTATAGACAAGCAATGGTTGCACTTGAAAGACGTCATAAAAATGGTGAGTAAAGCTACTTGCCACTGGTACACACTAAGTCTCTGCGAGCTCCATGCAATTTCTTGACGTTTGTAGGATCATTCCGGCGGATAGCGAATACACTAGTCTCTTATGCGAAAGATTACTCAACGCTCACTCAAGTACTATAGGACTTGGTGGTCAGAACGCACGAGTGAGATGAAAGCAGCAGCTGTATCTGGAGGTAGTCAGAAGCTGTTTTAGCCCATCCGGGTCACTAGCAGGTAGAATCCTGGTGTCAGTAAGACAGATTTTAAAATACATCGATAAAAAATCTTCAAAAACGCCTGGGACGCCGAACAACAGTTGAGCTGGTTCACTGCTCCAGCATCCTCAGTTTCAGTGTGTCGTTCTCCATGACCAGTTGACACTGACTCATCTAACGAGGCAGAGGTCCATAAGGGACTCCAAGTTCTGGAACGCCACAGGCATCCAACCCAGAAAACTTACCCTTGGCTCGTTTTAAGGATGGAGGAGTGACTCTAGTCAGGAAACTGACTAGGTTGTTTAAAAAGGTGTAGCAGACTGTGTTCCATCACTCTGGAATGAGACCATCATTGTCCTCGTCTTTAAAAAGGATCTACGTAATGTATGAGAAAATCATCGTGGCATTGGTCTGTTACCCTTCGCGTGGAAAATATTGGCTGCTTTCATACTTCGCGAACTTTCCGAATAATAATAGTGAACCTTTTCACTAACCTTGAATTCCGAATTCATTCCTTTATCATACACCATTGTCTACTCTGATATCACTTTTTCTATCCTCTCGTTCTTATAGTGTTGCAAGGTATGGCAACTTGAACTGATGCGCTTCTGTGCGCTGTTCCACTGAACGGTTCGGTGAGGACTAAAAAGGACGGTGAAACTCACCATTGCCTCTTTGTAATGTCTACTTACGCTCTCATTGACTGCAATTCGGATGAAGTGAGTGGTGAGTGCTACCGAATACTGTTTAGCCTCGTAATGAAAACCAAACACCCTAATATGGTTATCGTAGCAAGTGATTCCCATGCAAAGTGCACTGGATAAGTCAGACAGAAGGGTGCTAAGATGGTGTGTTAATCACTGGTGTTTTTTTAAGGCTAGAAAAAAGTTACAGGCGACTACATGGTATTAGTCCATGAACCCTTTGACTGTTGGTCTGTGTGGTGTAGCGAAATGCAGACTTTCTGGGAGACTGGACAATACAGTTCGAAATCTATCTGAGTGGTGCAGATGCATTCACACATTATCTTCATCTTAATTGTCATGCTGAATTTCAAGATTGTCTCACTTCTCGCTGTTTTTTCATGACTTGCTTCCACTTCTGTCCGCTTTCTTCTATATTTTTATGTTTTTCATCTTGATACATTCTCGCTCGACAAACTGATGTAGCAACTTGGACCGCCGCGCAGTAAGTGTAAATCCCACGCTAAGGCTGACTAATTTCTTAGTTGCAATACTAATAACAACCTATTTTCTCTCTTTGATATATTAAGCTTTGACGACAGCCAAAATACTAGTTAAACTTAGCTCACGCCGAAGCATGATCAAAGTCGAGATAGGTGCTCGGAAAGGAGTGGCAATCCTAAATACATTCATGTGGTTAACGCACTGTGGGTGACCTGTTTTAATCCAAGATGTGTATGGGCAGGGGATGGACTGCACATGGCACAACATCAGTGGCTTTATCGAAAGTTGTTGCTGGCTAAAAAGAGGTTAAGTTTTACCGTATGAATTGTCACCACAAGAGCTGTTTTTCTCAACACGTTGTTACTTTTAAAGACATTTTTATTCATCTTCAGATATAACGTATGTTTTTTATAACTCCAGTTGCACTACATTTAGTGAACCGAACACTGATGAAATTTCAGTACATGTATACAGACTTCGAGCGATATTTCACAACTGACCATGACCATAGTATAGGTGAGATATCAAGTCCACTCTGGTTTACTAGTGTCTGGACCCACTAATCTTGCTGAATGAAATCAGAATGCATATAACCCTTTTCTTAGCTCATACCAACACCTACTAACTTAATGATTTTGTACCATATCTTTACTTGACTACCCTATGTTTTCATCCATCGCATAATTCGTGTGTGGGCTACCTGATATCATATTTGATAGTTTGACTTGTATAACGTGACAAAATTATCCCAGCTAATGCCATTTCTCTTTCAGTTTATTGATTAATTAGTAATCTCACCTCAATGAACACTCTCAACAGTCATGCGGAGTAATTATTTATTTGTCCCTTGGGTTCCTAATGGAATATAAGGCTTCAGTAGCACGTCTCCAGCGCGCTCTGTTCTCTGAAATATTTTTAACCTGGCTCCACCAATGCCCACAAGCTCTCATTTCCTCCTCACACGATCTCCTCCATGTCACCCTCAACACTGACGCCCAACTCGTCGCTTCCCATGGGGATTCCACTCGAGCAACTGGCCTGACACGTGATGTCACCAGTCGACCTTCTTAGCGCATGTATGTCCAATCCATCTCCACTTTCTCCTACTGTATATTTGTTGATTGATAAGTTCTCACTTCGTTGGTTCGTTACCAGACACAGTTCCTTGTTGCTTATTCTCACTATTCTGGCCATCTGATCTTCGGTGTCAGTAACGAGCCAGCGTAGGCAGTTGTTGATCAATGTCTGTAGTTTGTTGGAAGTGGTTTTCGTAAGGCGCCAAGTCTGTGAGCCACCACATGGAAGCACTGACTTGACGTTGGTGTTGAAAATCCGGATGTTGTTGCACATGCTGAGTGCAGTGCAGAAGATCTCCACACTGGTTTCAGGCTAATCAATACAGACCTGTCTTGCTGTCTTTCCGATCCTGGCTGGCTTTGACGTCCTCGTCTGTTCGGCCACTGCCTGTAGTTGAAACAGTGCTGCCTAGATGGGCAGGTGAAGGAGGCTACTTCCCTTAAGTTTCTTCCACTGGTGGTGATTGGAGCTTGTTGTTGCTGTTGTTGTTGGTTGGGTATCTTCATCACCTCTGTCTTCTCTACGTTCACTTGAAGTGCTGTCTCCGCTGCCCTGCCTCACCTCTTCTGTCAACATGTTAGTTTTTGCCTGTAGATCTTCAAGTTTATGTGACATTAGACACAAGTCATCATCGGCGAAATCCAAGTCTTCTTGTGGGATCTTTTCCACGGTCTAACCAGCGTAACCTCCTCTTCTCACTCCTCACTGTTTGCTGCATGATCCAGTCCAGTCGACCACAATCAGGAATATCATGGGTGATAGTAGGCAACCTTGTTTCACTCCTGTCTTCACTTCAAAAGCATCACTGAGCTTCCCATTGTGAATTGCTTGGCATGTGGCGTCTTCATATAGTTGTTGAATGAGATTGATAGAGGTTTGTGGCGCTCCGTAGCGTTCAAGCAGCTGCCGGACAAATTACTTGTCGGTCGACGCTGTCAAAGGCCTTTTCAAAGTATCTGGAGTAATTACTATTGTATAGTTGTCTGTAGTTTGACCATTCAGTTAACTGGTCTTAATTTTATCGAACAACCTTACATTTTTAATTTCTTTCTGTAGGTAATAAAGAACATGAAAACTTTCATGATAAAGGCAAACAGAATAAATGTGCATGGAACAATGATGATTCATTTGAGGAAATAACAGATAAAGCCTATTTATGTGATCCAATGTCTAATGATATTAGAGCAGCTTCAACATCTAGTTTGGATGAAGTATTTGATAAAGATAATATGAACAGTCCTGATTTTATTGATGGTGATGATGTTAGCCTTGAAAGACTTTCCGATCTTCATATTCCTTTACCACTATTTCATACAGAGTCTAATTACTCCGATTCATCACAGATAGATGCTCCAGATCCTGAAGTTGATGTATGTAGTCTATTTTCATCGAATAACTGTGTTACAAGTCATTCGGAAGATTATATCGAGACCAAACATTCTTTTACATCCACCAATTCATCTCATTCACATCTTGGTGCTAATTCCACATTGAAAATTACACCAACTCCACCTGTATCCTCACGATCCTCAGCAAAACAAACTGAATTTATCCAGTTACCGTCTAACGTCAATCAACTTTTGACCAATACAGTTCACTCCACGCATCCATCTAAACCGATGTCTACTTGTCTTTCGTTAAAGTCAAGATATCGTCGTAACGGTCAGATAACATTGAAGTCAGGCGCATCTATCCTTCGAACAAAAAATTCGTTCAATGATTTAAGACAAACATGCTATAGACCAACTTTTACTTCTGCACGGTTTGCTCATTGTCGATTTTTAACTGCATCTCAGTTGGCTGGATCAACAGGTGAATCGACAGGTACTCTAACTTGGTTTCCAAAAGTGGCATTTGTTAATTCTAAAACTGCATTTAGTCTTAAAAAACCAGCAATTGTGATCACTTCAGCATATCCTGGCTCAAAATCAGGTAAGCTAATTACTTACACTAATCCCTTTCCAAAAAAAAACAAATACGCTCTCTGTTTGCTGGTTTATAAACTGTATTTTAACTTTCTTTTTATGGAGAGGCGATTTCTACTTCGGGCGAACAATCAGTTACAATCAAAGTGACACCAGGCATGACTACACAGCCATCCAAGTTGCCACACCTCATATCAGTAGTGACTGACCATATCAATGTAAGACTTCGTACACAAATACGTCGGCTCAGGTTGCCACACTACACAATAGTATACAAAAACAGGCGGATAGAGAAAGACGCATCAAATTAGACGAAGTTGTGTGAGAGAATAAATAATTTGAATATAACGTTCAGATGTCAAGGGATGAATCCATCTGCGCCATTGTAACTGACTTTCAGCCATGTCCGTAAGAGTTCTCAACCACTGATTCCTTTCGTCTCCAAGACCCCCACCACATAGTCTACATCTCCCCACTCGACTCAAGCCAGCAGTAAGAAACTTCATCGTCTACTACCTAGGTCTTGGTCCAGCCACTCAGAACCTTCCAACCTAATCCAACTTCCTTTAGCATGATACATAGAGGAGGGTGGTGGCTCGACTCATTCAAAAATAGTGGTAAGAATTCGTGAAAAGACTACAAGATGCAATGAGACAACGATGAAGTTCAACTTGACGATCAAGATGAAGAATATGTGTGGATGCATCTGCACCACTGACATCGAATTTAAGCCGTATTGTCCATAGTCCCTAACCTACAGTTTCTGTTGTCACGCGGACTCAAAACAGAAACTCTATATTTCACTACACTACTCAAACCGACAGTCAAAGACTTCATCTACTGATGTTATAATTTAGTCTAGCCACTAATAACTTTTTCATACCCCAAACCTACTTCAACTAACATTACACAACGAGACAGACAGTGACTAGGCATGTATAATACATTTCCTATCCACCTCGGTTATTTGAGGTTCATAACCTCATTGATTGACTTATCCTTATAACAAAACGTGGTGACCCCACTACACACTAAGGTGTATGCTACGAAGGCAATAGTAGTCTAAAACCCGAAGACGTCTCTTGTATTTTACTTTTAATGGCCGTGTTTTACAGCCGTACTCCTGAACAGGGTGAATTGCAGCACAGTGCACTTGACCCTTAATGAGCAATTGGATATTTTGGCGGCGACATAAGTGGCGTAAGTTGGCAGAAGCTAATCAAGTGTTTTATATCTGTGAAGAGATTAAGTCGGCCGCTGACGCACCAGGTCCGATCCGACCTCTCAGGTAAGTGAAATGTTTAACGCACTCAACCGTTTCACTCCCTATCGATATACAAGGCGCCAATAATGACCAGTCCTGAACCGATAATTTGCATTTTGGTGATGAGAAATGCATCCTAAACATTCTTAGATTGCCACTCTAAGTGTCTAGAAAACTTCATCCCTTCAGTGTCCTCATCTATCACGACTACTTCGTTTACGTACTCTCTAAATCTACCAAGGGTTCTCCTGTGATAAGATCAATCTCTGCAGTCAGGAAAGGAAGAGAGGGAGACCTCCACGTTTTCGTCTGTGATAAGGTTGAATAAGAGTGGAGGAAGTGCGCATTGTTGAGGGACATCAATCGACGTAATAAAACCCACAGTTGACTCTAACACGCCCATGATTGTTCGAATACATAGCCTTTAATAGAGTCGGCACTCCTTTCAGTAAGAGACACTACTATAAGACCTCTCGGTCGACGAAGTCAGACTTCGCCTTTAGGTCAGGAAATGCAGTTAGTGTTAGGTGTCGGTAAGTGTTTCTGCGTTCCAGAACCTGACACTTACTTGGACATCTGATAGTTACAGAACCTATTATCTAAGGCAATATGTTCGTCAAGCCGATTCCCGTGTGGTTGTCACAGGAGGATTTCTATCCTTTCTCGAGGACTGGGACAGGCAGTGATTGATACCAGTCGGAGGGAGATCAGTGGCATACACTGGACCGATGAAAAGAGCCTAGAAGATTTGGATTTCGCCGATGATTTATGTCTAATGTCACACAAACTCGAAGATCTACTGGCGAATGCTAACAGCTTGACAGAAGAGGCAGGGCAACGAAGACGGGACTTCAAGTGAGCGTAGAGAAGACAGAGGTGATGAAGATACTCAACCATCACCACCAACAACAACAAACACCAATTACCATCAACGGGAGAAACCTAAAGGAAGTAGTCTCTTTCACCCACCACCTAGACAGCATCGTTCCAACTACAGGCGATAGACAAAGATGTCAAAACCAGGACCGAAGAGACAGCAAGATAGGCCTTACTACATTAATCTGAAATAATCAGTGTAGAGATCTACTGCAGTCAGCACAAAGAACAAGATGCTGATTTTCACCACCAATGTCAAGTTAGTTCTACTTTATGGTTCAGAAACTTGGCGTGTTACGAAAAGCATTTCCAACAAACTACAGACATTCATCAACAGCTGCCGCCTACGCTCACTCTATACTGAAGATCAGATAGCCAGGAAGAATAAGCAACAAGGAACTCTGGGAACGAACCAACCAGCAGCCTATCACCCAAGAAATATGCAGTAGAAGAAGGTGGAGATGGATTGGGCATACACTGAGAAGGTCAACTGGGGACATCACGCACCAGGCCATCAAGTGGAACCCAAAGAGGAAACGACAAGTTGGGCGTCGGTGTTGAGGGTGACATGGAGGAGATCGTGTGAGGAAGAAATGAGAGCTTGTGGGCAGTGGTGGAGCTAGGTTCAAAGGACTTTAGAAAAGAGGGTGCAACGGAGGCGTGCTACTGAAGCCCTATGTTCCACTAGGCACCCAAGGGAAAAATAATAATGATAATAATAGAGGGGGATCATGTCTGACTCTCATATGCTGCCTGAAGCTTCAGTTAATCTGACTACTCGTCCAGTATCACCGTCGCCAAATACCTCTGGTAGTAGTCTGTCTGGCCCCTGCTGCCTTTCGTCGTTTCAGGTTACTTACAGCTGTCTCGACTTCTGCAAGTGTTAGAAGCCCTAATCTTGATGTCCTATCCATTATTCGACTAGATAGCAAGTAACTAGATACTAGTTAGAGAAGGCCAGTTGGACTATTCTTTGGAATATTCCTCCCATCATTCCACTTGATTCTGCCATACTATCCAAATTCATATTTATTTACTATCTGCCCTATTCAGAATGATGTAATTCATCTTCAGCCTATTCAACTTCAACGTTCATTCCCACCTTTTGCATAACCACCTGATTTGTGAAAAATTGTTCATTTTTTACTATGTTATTACTTCAGTTGATGTCTCAGTTTACGATATGTATCTATGTATGTATAACTATTTGTTGATATACTTGTAATTCTCCGTTTTTGTACTGGATCGAATTGTTCGACCTCCGTTATCATTTGGGCTCCTATGCGGATATCTCTATATTGTCTGAGTATTTATTATGACAATTTACTTACCCGATGGGAACAACATCACTCACTGAGGTGCAGGTACATCCAGCTAACGAGTCCCAAATAGGACGAAACGCTCGCCCTGGGCTCCTCTGCTAGCCGCAACCAAGCAAATTTATGTGTGTATGTTCTGTATTTCCTAATGGTATAATCAAGTATGTGGAGTATACAGCTGATGAGTTCTGATATATATATATATATATATATATATATATATATATATATATATATATATATATATATATATATGCGCCATCATTCTACTTTACTTAGAGACAGTATTCTGCATCCAGTTGACTGAAAGCAGTCTGACTTCCCTTCTTTCATTTGTTACTTCAGTAACTTATCGGGTAATTTTCTAATGAAGGCGCTAAAGTACACATTTTAAAACGTATATTTGAGGGTAGATTATGCTACTTGTTTACTCAAACGTCGGAAGACGGAGCTGTGTTCGAACCTTTAACCCACTGATTGAAATTCATCCCTCTAAACCAGTGAGCCACAGCTCCACTAGTAACCACTTACAAGGTTGCGTACTATGGTTATAAGACACGAATTTGATGATATAATCCTACCTGGATGCCCAAAAGCACAAAATACATAAAGTGATGTTTTTAACCCAGGACTGAACTGGTCAACATTTCTCTGCCTTAAGAAAAAAGTAAGTTACCATTTTACTGGAGAACTGCAGTTCTCTATCGATTTTTGTCTGGCTATTAATTAAGTGTGAATAGTTTTAAAAAAAAGTTGTTTAGTGTCTCCGGCAAAAAAACTCATTACTTACTGTCGACTTTTAATGACTGGAACCAGCCTATCTATTAGAGACGTTTTTATACTATTTTTAATAGAGATGTATCTTTTCCACATAAAGTAAGTAGCAGAGAAATAGAAATTAACTGTAACTCAATGATCAAAAATCAACGAACTCATATGTGATTAGGCTATACTAGCCACATCCTAACACAACAGTTGTTTGCTTACTTATTAGCAATCCTTCCCTTTTAAACAAAAATAACAGTTTGCTATGCATATATGGTGTTATATACAATGACCATTTAGTAAGCAGTTCCAGTGAAAAGGTTCAAAATGTCATGTTTATCACTCAGCGTAGGAAAACGTCCGCATCGATCACTACAATTCACCTCGTAGTATGTACGTATATGTGTGTGTTTTGCTGTCATTTTCGCAACATATCGTAAAATAACAAAGTAGGAAGTTGTAAACCATTGGATTCTGACCCAGTGACTAAATGATAACATGCTGATAGCAAGACTTGACGATAGTCCTGAGTCTGGTCCGTGATGGGGTCGTAAGTGTACGCTACTGACTAGCCCTGTACTATGACGACGCAGTTGTCTAGTACTCTCAGGTTTATCAATGATTCCCTAACTGATGTTAATCCTTGATGAATGCCACTCTGAAATCAGTCAACTCCCATAAATAAACCTCCAAATTATTTCCATCATTACAGTATACGAATTGAAGCTGTGGTTCATTGGTTTCAACTAATGGGTCACGGAATCGAACCCCACTCCACCTACC